CCAAGGACCGACTCGCTAAATCCCCTTGGAGGTGGTAGAGATCTTCTATTACCCGGTGAACAAAAGTCATCACCGTGGCGAAGAACATAGATCTAGTCATATCCTCACAACTACTGCACTTCATTGCAATGTAGTCGGCAATCCTCCAAACTCTCTCTCTTATGATACCCTTTTCTCGCAACAAACGCCCAATCTGTTCGGCTATGGCTCCCAAAGTTTGTTCGGCGACCTGATTCTGCTCTCGAAGTTGTCACAAATCGCTTTCATGTTGTGCCATTGCTGCATAACACTGTTCTCTTTCAAGATTGAAGTCTTTCGCTTGTCTGATTGTTTTATTCTCCGCGATGATGACCCTTTTCTTTAGCTTCACAACTTCATTGTCATACTTTTCTTTCAACTGTTTAACCAGGCGCGCTCGTTCATTCGCATTTTTGGCCAATTGCTTTTCAGCCCTGGCTAATTCACCTTCTGCGTTGTTCAAATCGAAACTATGTTCTCTCATTTTCTGCCTCAAATTATCTATAAGTTTTTCATCTTTGGCACTCCTGGCGAGATTCTCTGCCTCTCTTTTCATTTTTCGAATCTGGGCCCGAAGGGCCTTATTTTCTTTGGCTAGTTTCTTCTTCTCGCCCTCATCCGCGGCGGCCTGTAAACCATTTTCAAATTGCAGATCCATGACTTCCTTTTCCAGCTTTCCTATTGTAGCCCTGTACTCATGTTCTTTAGCCAACCAATCTCATTGTTCTTGCGACACCTCGACGAACTCCTGGAGATGGAGTCTTTTGGCCGGCATCCCAAACTCAATTTCTCTCTTATACCAAGCAAGGTATCCCAACGAAACTTCACCTTTGGACCGATCACGTACACAGGTATTTGCTGTTAAGTATTGGCACTCTCTCCAAATTTGGCGGACTGCTGCTTCATGAAATTGGCTGTTAGGCCCGATCTCGACCACTTGGCCACTAAGATCTTCATCTCTCGGAACTATTTGGCATCTTCCCAACTGCCTCAAAACTCGATAAGGGGCATAAGGCTGGATACTCCTGACTCCCATCAAGAGGAAATGGGGTCCAGTGGCTGGCATATATATATGATTTCATCCACAGGCAACCATCCAAATGTCCACTCTATCTGGCTTGCAGTGACGGAACGAAGGCGCGTTACCCACTCGATGGCCCCTTGTGGCAAGTTGATCCCATCAACCCTCGTAGAAAATTCCTCTATGCATGTTTTTTCTGTCGACCCATAACTCATAAATCGAGGACGGTGGCATAAGTGTTCGATCATACACATCTGTAGCAACATATTACAACCCTCAAAAAAGTCCCCTTCCGGCTTTGTAGGCAGTAAGAGCGTGGAAGATTTCAGCTACTATCATGGGTGCGAGGGTGCTATTGGCCTGAGTAAGCAAAGTACTGACAACCCCAGCTACTCGTATGTTAATATTCCCATCTTTTCTAGGGAACACCAGAAGCCCCAGAAAGGCCACCATAAATGCAAAACACCTGTGTTCCTCCCACTTAAGGCAGTTTCCTTTGCTACAGATTTTGTTTTCTCGCTTGTTGAACCCTCCTATATGACCATATCTGTTGTATATAAATACAAAGTACAAAAACCCGCTGCCAAGTCTGAGTTGTGGACCCCCCTACTTATTTTCAAGTAATCCAGGAACATGTGTACGGCTACGGCCCTCAGAGCAATCAGGTACTAGTGTCTCAGAGAAACCTTGGGACCCCCGATATATCTGACTATATCTTCCAATGTTGGGGTAAGTTCAAAATCTGAGAAGTGAAATACGTTGTGAGACGGGTCCCTGAATGTGACCAACGCCTTTATGATATCCCCCCTAGGATTAATCTTCAGCAACCTAGTGAGGCCTCCCAAGTACAGATTGACCGTGTCTTGCCCTGATTTGCCCAAGTCATCCCACCACATGTGCAACTCCAAAGGGATCTTGTTCACAATTGTTACTGGTAAATTCTGACTTGTGCTCATTATGCACATTTATTAAGGTGATTAAGCAAAAATCATGATTTACTCTGTTTGACTCAAAATCAAAACTGACCCCCTTCTTTTTCATATTTTTAGTTTCTAAAACCAAAAGCCCAGCTTTGCAAATACAGCCTTTCAGCACTTTCGTAGGAAGATTTTAAGGCTATGCCCGCTAACTGGCCAAAAATTTAAAAAAAGACCAAAGTTGGTTGTTAATGCAAAAACAGCCTTCCGACGTCCCTTTCGGGAACATTCAGCTATTTTTTGACAAAAACGACATCACCTCACCTATTTACAATAAAAATAAAATTTTGTTCATTTCGGGTTATTTTTGCAAAAAGAAGTTGGACCCGATGAGGGTTGCCTACGTGTCCCACACTCTGTGAGAATTAAACTGGCGTAGTTCGGGCAAATAAAATAACTTTTTTTGAAAACAAGACTCTTCTTTTCTTTTTCCTTTTCTTCTTTTTTTCATTTCACTTTTTCTCAAAAATTCGGCAGAGTTTCGACACTATTTGGACATTGTTTTTTTTCAAAGCAGGTTATTAACTCTCTTTATCCCTCATACTGCTATTTCTCTTTTCTCAACTTTTTCAAATATTCAAAGGCCGGTCAGCATGCAAGTCCGAAGCAAATAAATGCACAAGTAGAAAGTAAGATGCATCAGGATGGTCTTTTTCATTTTTGGCACACCTATCCTAGACAGACCCAACCCATGTGTTGAGCCTCCAAAGTCAAATGCACATGATGCAAACAAACGTTCCTACTAGGGATCTGGCATGAAGCTGAGTTATTCTAGGTTCAAAACCTGGGTATTTGTTCTAGACTGTGTACCCGAGCGGACAACTCGAGTCGAGGAGGGGGCTACGTACCGGGAACCAAAAGGCCATCCGGCTTAGTAACTTGTCCGAGCCTCTTTCTTATTTCAGGGTATGACGCTAACAGAATAGGGAGTCTCGACCAGCGAGCACATCCCCGAAGATGAGAAGAGAAGGATTTTGTAGCAATTTATATGTACAGGTCAAATAATATCAAAGCAATAAAAAGCATCATTTTGCACATTAAGCCCAAACATGTAATAAAATCAGATAACAGATAAAGCCAAATATAACAATTCATCTAAGCTCGAATTCTTAACCCTGAAGCAGAAGTTCTGGGTTCTTGTCCCCAGCAGAACCGCCAGAGCTGTCACACCTCCTTTTTACCTGCACCCGGAAGGGTATTAAGGAGTTTTTCCAATTAAAGGACAATCGAGACGGGATTTATTATTAAAAGATTCAGAGTCGCCACTTGGGATATTTATGGTGTCCCAAGTCATCGGTTGAATCCCGAATCGAGGAAAACATTGACTCTGTTTAACAGTCCGCGAACCAGAAATCCGAGTAAGAAATTTTGTTAACCCGAGAGAAGGTGTTAGGCATTCCCGAGTTCCGTGGTTCTAGCACGGTCGCTCAGCTGTTATATTCGGCTTAATTATCTGATTTTAAACAATTATGAACCTAAGTGCAAATTTTAACTTTATCCGCTTTTATCCATTTTTAGTGAGAAATTGCAACGTCATTAAAACACGCCTCGAATCACGTCACATAAATGCGCCCGTGATTTTTGACATAATTTAACATCATTGAGATTTGGATTTGGGTCACATAAATGTGCACCCGAGTTTAGGAAAGTAGATTATTAGAATACGCGCCTAAGCAATTACGCGTTTGCACTTTGCGAGGGCCATGGAATTTGTTAAATAGTGCACCTCGAATTCTAAGGATTAAAGCAAAATCTAATTAAAAATGAGGGCCATGTAGTTAAGATTTTTGTTCGGCACAGCACACCTCGATTTTAGTTTAAAAGGATTTTCAAATTATATTTGGAGGGCCATGGACTATTATTATCTAGTATGGCTCGCCTCCACTAATTGATGGACCTAATCAATTTAACACAGGAGGAGTCCAGATTCGGGCCCAAAGTGAGCCCCCTTGATTAGTAAAGACACGAACGTCCAAACTAGATGTCGTTTAGGCAAATTGGGCCACGCGTAGGCCCAATCTCCGTAACCAAACATTTGCATTACCAATTCAATAGAACACTGTATGGAAACATGAGATTGAATTACATCCTTGTTTCTGATTTTCTACTGATTAAAACAAATTAGCCAACTTGAGCCTCCAATTTTATTCTAGCACATTTTGAATCAACTCTGTTACGCAGAAATTGTCCAACAACAATTAATATGAGCTATTGGGCTTGGCGGATAAGCCTAATGCATCAAAGCACCATCTTATCTCGAAAATGGTCCAAAATCTAGGGCTCTATGAACCTAAGACTTGCAAGACTAAAACTGGAATTCAAGACTCAATATCAAGTCTTACCCAACACAAAAACCTCAATCTATCCTGCAGAATCGACACTGATTAACCACAAAATTAAACTGAAAATTATTATCTATTAAAACACTGATCAACATTAAACTGACAACTAATTCAACCAATTCTTTGTTTAAATACGTTCATATGTTAATCATTGAAACAATATTAATTGACAACTACTGAGACATTAACTAGCTAATCATGATGCCTTTTCTGATATTTACCCTTAAGTCGACTAAATGAGCACCCCAATTTTCACTCCATTTCTAAAGTTTAACACATTCATATGCCCTTCAACAGTAAATTAATGCATGATTTGACCCCCTGAAGCAAACCAAACCATCTTAAAAGGAGAATTCAACTGTACCCTTACATGAACATTGCAACATCCAAACACCACAAGCATTTGCCAACAAATTAAATGAATTACATGACAGAAAAAGCCTAGTGCAGTCCAGGATTTAAGTGATGAAATACAGAGCCTAAACTACTGATTCAAACCAACAAGCTATTTTTCCATGTTTTCATGACAATTCCAAATTAGATACAGTAATAAAACTTATCTATACTAACTAGAAACTCAATTAGATAATATAACTCATTAGGTAAGAAAATCAAAATTAACATGACTGAATCAACAAAACATTAATGTTGTGCTTTAAAACTTCTGCTTCTCAGTTCATTCTTCAAGGAAAACTTCACAAACAATAGAGTTTCAAGAGCAGGTACCTGAATATAACAGAAACAGAATCAGAAACAAGATTTGAGGTCCAAGAGGAAACCAGCCACAGTATAAAAACAGTAGGAGCAGTGATTCAACAGGTTTAATTAATCGAGCAAGGCAACCAACTTAAACCAATGAAATAGTGCTTCTCAACATAGCTTGACCCCAAAACTTTTCCCAAACCATAAGATCAATCCATTTTAATTCAGAAGATTTGCTCCACAAATTCAAAGAGACCTCAAAGTTCAAGTTCAAACTCAATGAAATAGTAATTCTCAGTATTTGGCCGTCAGAAATTTTCTGGAATTTTTCAGTTCTTAAATCCCTGCCTTCAAAGGCAAGTTTAATGTGCCTTTATAGGCAAGCAAATAGGGCAACCCTGCTGATTTTAATTTAACCCCTTAGGTCCCTTTCTAAATTCTTGATTTACCTTAGAGGCCCTCTAGTTATTGACTTGTTTTCCAAGTTAACTACCTAAAAGTGTGAAATTGGCTGAAAACCCCTGCTAGAAGCTTCTAAGTTAGTTACCCAAGATTCCCTTCTATCCAGTCTACCCAAATTACCCCCCAAGTTCCTTGTTTTTACCCTATCCTATCAGCCCAGAATGGGTCCGGTTGGACCCCAAAGGCTCCACACAAGTTAATTCTGGCAAGACCTGAGCTGAACCCTCTCCTTAGGCCCAGGTCCAACCTTGCCAATCATGAGATTCCCAAACAAAATGTGAACAAAACTCCAACGGCTCAATAGTTAAAACAAATGAAATTTAAAACAACACTGATTAACCAATTAATTAACAATCCAACCTAAACTATTATCAGGAAAATTAACATGAAACCAAGAAGATAACAAAGGAAATTTGGCTAAAATTTGAAAAGGAAAACTTAACTCGACACTGATTTCACTCAGAACATGCTAGAGAAGGAAGAAAAAGAAAATGCGGGGCAAAGAGACAAACAAAATGAAGAAAGAAAAAGAAAACTTACTGATTTAGACTTGAAAATATCGAATAATTCTGATTTAACCTCCAAATAGTGTAACTCGCCTATTCTTTGGTAAGAACACACGAATAACACCATTCTTAGATGAAACAGACTTTGGACACTCAGAGAAACGTGGAGGACTGAACTTGCATGCATAACCTCCAATTTGGCTTCTAAACTCGAACCCTAATTTTGAAATTCGAAGGGTTCAAGCTATGTTTGAGGAAAACTGACTATGGGATAGGGTAGAGAATATGAAGGAGGTAATGGGTTGTAAATTTGGTAGTGGTTGGTAGCGGCTCCGCCACCGGAGAAAACAAGGGCGGCGGCTAGGGTTTTGGAGTTTTGAGGGATTTCGATGGGATTTGAAGGGAGCTGATGGTGGATTCATGATGAGGAAGGGGAGAGGGAGATTTGGTGTGAGTTTGGGGGCATTTGGTGGCTGGCCGCCACCGTGGGCGATTTTCGGCGGTTGGTTATCGGTGGTGATTAGGGATACGAAGGGGTCTCTGGGGTATGAGTTGAGAGATGGAACTGGGGGGTAGGGGTCTTCAGACCGTTATATATTATGTAATCCCCAACTTCCCAGTTGTTAGATCAAGTTACCTCGACGGCTGGGATCGTCTACTAGCTAAACAGGGTCGTTTGAGGATGAGGGGGAATTGGACCGGGTTAGATGCGGGTTTGGGCTGGGTAAAGGGTATTATATGGGGCTGAAGGAGATTAATTTGATTTGGCCAAGAACAGTTTTTTTTCTCTCTTGTTTTCTTTTTCTTTTCATTTATTCTAATTTCTTTTAAATTACAATTAAAAATAAAACATAAATTAATTCCTACTCAAATTATGCCATCCAATTACATTAACTAACTCTAAATAATTACCACAAATAATCAAAACCAAATTAAGGAACAACTACCAAAATTCAAGATTAAAATTAAAAGTGCAAAATAAACTATTTTTTGTGATGTTTTCCATTTTTATAAAACGATTAATTTGTTAATTAATCCTAAAATGCAAAGTTAAATCCTAAATGCAAAATGCAATATATTTTTGTATTTTTTATGAATTAAAATGCACAGACAAAATGCAAACAATTAACAAAAATGCCACGAAAATCCACAAAATTGTAAATACTGAAAGAAATTATTTTGTTTTGGAATTTATGGGAGTAATTCATATAAGGCAAAAATCACGTGCTCACAGGCATGTTCCAATCCCCCCTCACGGCTTGGACTTGATTGGTTGTGAGATTTGGAGCTAAGGGGTTTAGGATGTTGTTCAACCAAATTTGGTTGATGTAGTTGTTCATCGCCATTCGGACACCCTCGGAGATTAGTTGGGCAATGTAGTGGGAGTTCTGAATGACAATCACTGTTTCCCTCCCTTCCAATGTGATGTTGAAAGAGAGTGCATGACCTAGAAGCCCCATCTCCACCCAAGATAGTGGTTGATGGTTCTGGGGAAGGGGTGGTTGGATTAGTATCCTTCTTGGTTGATTGTTTTGGTTCAGATTATGGGTGGGTTGAGGAGGGTTGTTTTAAGAGATGAAGTCCATGTTTGTTGAGAGTCACTCTTTGGAGTTGGATGAGACGGTGGCGTCTCCTTGTAGAGATTGGAATTCTGGGCATTCTCACTAGTGGTTGAGCAATTTAAAGAGGGAGAAGGGATAGGAGAATCAGGAGAATCAGAGGAGTTAATATTACCTAGGATTTCAATGATTGTATCATTTTCTTGCATGTAAAGTGACTGGGATGGCGTGTATTTAATGGGAATTTCTTGGCTCACGATTGGAATGGGATGAGGTGAATTTGTATGGGGAATATCGATGGCCATAAGCTCATTGGGTTGGTTCTTGCATGCCTTATGAAATCTGTCAGAGGTTGCATGAGGGTTTTGGTTAGGGTAATGTTGCCCGTTAGGGGGGTAATAGAGGAGAGGTTTGTAGGGTGATCATTAGAGGGGGCATAATATTGGGTAGGGTAGTACTGTAGGTGGTATTAGGGTTTGATTGGATGGGAGATGATATGAGAAGTAGATGGGGGTGGAGTTGCGTGTGGGGGGTGTTATGTGGGCCCAAAGTGGTATTAAGAATTACGTCCATTTTGTCGTTTTTGGGTGTAATAGAGGAAGTAATATTATTGTTATCAGTATTAGTAATTTTGTTTATAGGAATATTATTGTAATTATTATTGTTAGTAGAGGTAGTGATTATATCTTTACTAACATTAATGGAAGGGTTATTATCTAAATTATTTTGATTCAACAGAAGGAATGAGTTCGAGTTCTTAACAGGGGTAGTGGGGGAGGTTGATTTACCATTGTTGGAAGCTTGTAAAAGCTGACCTCTAGATTTATAACAAAAATTTTGAGAGGAGAGGAACTTACCTGATTTGGCTTCGAAAATGTTAACGCTAATACCTGGGTCTTGGGAGATATCTGGCAATTTGGAAGTCCTTTTAGTTGGATCCCTTTGTTTGCTCCTATTGAAGGGTACTGTGTGCCATATTTCTTCTGGCTTTGTATTCCTTGTTTGTGGTGTTTCCAGGTCTTTACTTGGAGATTCCTGTTTCTGCATGGATTTCGGATGATGGCACTGTGGTTTCGTGTGGCCTAAGAGGCCGCAGGATGTACAGAGAAGCTTGTCACCTTCATAGAGGATAAATTGTTTATGGGAGTCTATGAAGAGGAAAGGGGTGACAGGTTTGTTTAGGGGGAGTTCCACACACAGACGGGCATATCTCCCTCGGAGAGCAACTGATGTACAAGCATCAACCTTAAGGAGCCTTCCAATTGAGCTTCCCACTTTCTGTAGAATCTCCTTGTCGTAGAATTCAGTGGGTAGCTGGGGGAGTCTGATCCAGATAGCCGTGTAAGATTGAGTTGCTTTGGAAGCTACAAAGTTAGGAATCCATCTTTGGACAGAGAGGAAGAAACCATAGAGGAACCATGGACCTTTTTGAAATACGTTAACCATGTTTTCTTCTTTAGTAAAACGAACAATATAATAATCTTCTCCTAGATCAATTAATGGGAGTTTTCAGAAGGTTTCCACTGGTCCATTAGTTTTTTTTTCAACAGATCATGTGTGATTCTTTTCCCTTGTAACTTAGTAATAAGAGAAAAATCTCCGGGGGTAGTAGATTCGTTGTTTATCTTCATTAGTGATAGGAACAGAGATGTTGTGTTCCTGGGGAGGGGTTTGAAGCTCGAGTGGGATCTTTGACTCATAGTGGCACTCCATTTGGGTTTGGTGGTCTAAGGTTGGATCTGTGATAAAGTCTATTTCTTTGTTAAGGAGCTTATCCTTGAAGGAGATGGGTTCCATTATCGTTGTATTAGTCTCCCTTGAGCTAGTGGTGGGGGGTATATCCGGTGGTTTTGGTGGGATTGCTGAAGAGTTGGGAGTTTGAGACATTGAAAAAATCGCTCTATTCATGATTCACTTCTTCGCTTTCTTTCGATACCTCTTCACTGTTAATAATAATCTCCAAATTCTCCTCCTCATTAAATGGGTTAATGGGTTCCCTTTATTCTAATAAATCTCGTTCTTTTGGAAAAAAATATTGTCAATGCCAAACCATCTTAATTATTTATTTTACCTAACAAGTCTATTATTAAATAATAGACAGTGCACTAAACAACCAAAGGATATTTCTGTAACATTGGTAGAATTTGAAAATTCTAATTTAGACAAAACAACATAAATTTTGCAAGAACCAAAACACATGCAATTAACTTTCCTGTAAGAACTAAATTCTTTAAACTAAATTAAAGTTCAATCACCATAGAATACTCAAAATTTAGTTGGGAAATGTCATACGTACGGAAGAATATCAGAACAAGAAGAAAGTTGGACAAGTTTTTATGTAAATAATTTTATTCTTTCTTATTATTAGCAAAATATTAACAATTATATATAAGTTTATCATATAATAATTTATATTAAAATAATATTTATCTAATTAATTTAGAATAAAAGTAAGTTGAGACAAAATAATTTGTATTTGCTGAAAAGCCTTTTACAGCTATAAGGGTACTTGAGTCAGTTTACCAAAAATAAAAGCTTATCAACATTTTTTTACCAAACAGTTCGGCTGCTTATTTTCAGTTTCAACACTTTTATCCAGACATGTAACTATTCATTTATAAAAACATGTTCAACACTTAAAAAAATGCTTTTCAGCACTTGATGCTTATAAGCTATTTGAAATTAGCTAAGCCAAACGGGCACAAACAGAGGTGGTTCTATGAGTTAAACTTTATAGGTTCAATCTTTAATATTTTTTATAGTGAACCAATCATATTATTAAAGTTATAGCTTTATATCTACGATTCTTTGTAATTTTAATAAAGTTTCAAACATAAATTTATATTTCGCGTCGAAAGTGCACGGTTTAATTGAACGCAGTAACAATATTATGTTACTACTCTGTATTCAAAACCAGAAAACTAGAAAAAACTTTAGTTTAAGAAAAAAAACAGAAAAATTCCGAACCCACAAATTTCTTGTGTGTCCTAAAGGAATTTAATCCCCTCACAGTTGCCCAGGGTTACAGATTAATTCCTCCCAGGATAGAATGGAGTAACTATTCTATGATAACGGCACTTCAAATCACAGAATTTCGGCAAACTCAAATGGCAGAGTAAATCATACAAATGCTTACGTTTTTTCGTTGCAAAAACAATGCAGAATGCAGAAGATAGAGGGGAGAGATCAGATTATCGGTAAAAAATGAGGCTGAGTCTCTCTATTTATATCTAAGAAAGTTGAGTTCCAACAAATAAACGGAATGGCTGGTCGCGAAATTGACCGTTGGAAGTGCCGCGAATTTAAGCCGAAGCCGATTTGGTCCAAAAAATTATCAATCATATCAATTGACCAAATTTGAAGCCGAAGCCGAGCGACGACGACGGCGCAAGGCTTGCTCTCTTCTCAACTCTCTAAGAACTAGAAGAAGTGCTTCTATATATAAGCACAAGAATTTTCCTCTTCCTATCCAATGAAGGACAAAGTTTCTTTGTAAAAAAGACTAATTCAAATTTCATTTCCCTCCATTTCTTTTTCCCCCATTTTTCATTCATACCTCTTTTGTTTTGATTAACAAAACCTAACATATTACACCTCTTTTCTTTTCCCCTATCACCTCTTTTGTTCGCATAGGGTAGGGTAGGTTAGGTATCGCGTTCGCGGAGCCTTGGTTGCATTCGCGATGAGGATTTTTGTTGCAATTACTGTTTTGCCATCGCGATCGCGAGGAGGCTTCTGCGATCACGAAGAAGGAGGGCCTGGGTAGAATGCATTTAAATACAGGATGTAGGCTTATTTTCCCCATTTTTCATTTGGATTTAGGAGATTTTAGAGCTATTTGGAGAGAAATTTTCATCAAGCATCATAAGGTAAGTGATTTCTACTAATTATAACTTAAATACATGAATTATGTATATATTTTAACATAAACATTTGTAGAAATTTTGGGTTTTACTGAAGAACCTAGGGTTTAGTAAAAATGGGTCTTGATCAAGAAATTGATTATGTAATTGAGTAAAAGTTATATATTTGGAAGATCATGTTAGTTACAATACTTATTTCACTACTACTAATTATATTTTATGCCTGTCTATTTTCATGTACTTTAATTATTGGACCATTAGTGAGTGTCATTGTCGATCCCTCGTCACTACTTCTTCGAGGTTAGACAAAATCATACTTACTAGTACGCATTGATTTACGTACTCGTACTACACTTCTGCACTAACTGTGCAGGTACTGAGGCAGGTACTTCAGGCGGTTATTCGGGCGCACATGCGCACCATCCGGAGACTTAGTGGAGAGCTTCTCTTCATGCTCCGATCCGCAGCACTTGGAGGTTCTCTTTTCCAACTTGTAACTTGAATTTCATAGCCTGTAAAGCGAGAGACAGATCCAGGCTTTGAATTTTATGGGTTTAGATTCACAATTCTCCCACATCCTATATAATTTAATGGGTTCAAAATTTATTATCTCTACATATTTAATAATTTTTAAGCAAAAATATAGGGTATGAGCAAAAATACTACACTAGATACGCCCCCTGTAAAGCTTAATTAACAATCAAATTTCACATAGGTTAGCCTTCTTCTTTCAAAAGATTTCCAGTGCAGGTTCTATGCTTTTGCTCTTTTGTACCTAATACAGTTTAGAATACGTAGTAAAACTAATAAAAAAATGAGAAGAATATAATTTAGTCCTTTTGTTCACTATACTAGTTTTTTATTCTGTCCAAGAGCTGACTCTTGATTAATTTCATTTGTTTTGTATCTTCCACTCTTAATTAATATCGCACGTTTTAGTCTTATCCTAGTTATTGGTTACTTAGTGCATTTCAAAATATTTTTCTTTTTCAAGAACCATTGTGAAGTTGTAGATATAATACCAAAATTCAGTAGACATTGAAATAAAGATTTTACTCTTTTTGTCAAGTGATGTAAATATTACGACTTATAATTCTGTTTTCTTTTTAGGCCCATTTGATCTTAATTATGAATTCCATTTGAGATGTCTCTCTATACATTGTTGCAGGGCTGTTCAAAATCAAACCATAATTGATAAGCTAATCGCAAAATTGCCTTATCGGCTTATTAGTATTGATTTATCGGATTAACGGTTGGTGATCGAATTGAAATTTTATAGTTATCGGTTTAACAGTGCGAGGGCGCAGCGGATTAATCAATTTTCTTATCGAATAAACCATTAACCCGTTAAAAATTACTATAATTTATATCTATTAAAATTTAGAAACCCTAAAGGCTAACGCCTCATTCACTTCTAAGGAAATGACGAGCACTCAGTTCAAAGACGCATAGAAGGCAGATTTTCCAAAATCAGTCTTACTTTTGAGTTAAGTCTCTCTTCCTTTCCTCGAATGATTTCTTTTTCCACTTACCAATTAGTATCAAAGTAAGAAAAGAAGAAGGATCTGTTAGTGCTTTTTCTTCTCATTTCTTGCAGCCGCCTCTCCAGACCTCCATACTAAGCGACAACCAAAAGTATTTCAATATTGTCGTCTTGTATTTGCGAAGGAGGTAACTGCATTGTCACTTCTTTTATCATAAGTCGAGTGCACTGATTTTATTTTTATCTTCTCTTTGATTTGGCTGATAAATCGCCTGATAACTGCCGATAATTGCTAACTCGATACAGAACCGCATGATATCTGATCGGTTGGCTAGCGGATCGATAAATCAAACTGTTATGTGTAAATATCCGTCCGATAAGTCGTCCTAGCCACGTATAAGTTGTAGTTCTCAATAGATTGAAAACCAAAAGATTATAAAAGAACATAAAAAAATATAAAAACATAAAAAACAGCAGAGTTTTTAATGGCAGCATACAACTTAAAATGATCAAGATTGATAGGAACTGGCGATTAAGAGAGAGAAACTCTCATCCGCCACTAGGAAACTTTCCCCAATGGAAACACCACCCAAGTCACCCAATATACCACCGGAACCACCGGACGACACCGTCATGGAAGAAGACACTAACCAACAACACTCATACAAAGAAATGTTACTGGACAAACAAAGTACTACACAAGCAGAGTATTTCACAACGGGAACTCAATCTACGTTCACACAAGGAAAAGGGAAGGAATCAACAGGACCTATAATTCTCTCACAGGAGGATAAGAACAGGCTCTATGAACCATGGCGCTTCTCAGTCATAATCAAGTTATTTGGAAAAAAAATGTCACACTACCTTCTCCGTTCTAAGCTACTTGACTTATGGAGTCCATCCAAACAGTTGATTTTGATTGACCTAGGATGGGACTTTTTCAAAGTCAAATTTAGTAAAGAGGAGAACCTAGTGAAAGCCATACAAAAAGGGCCATGGTTCTTATTAGAAAACTTCCTCTCAGTAAGAAGATGGGAACCCAAATTCGTTCCACAGGAAGCAACCCTTTCTTTCACTGCAATTTGGGTGAGACTACTACAATTGCCAACAGAATTTTATGATAATGAAGTCCTTGAAAAGGTGGGTCAGAAACTGGGAAAACTCCTAAAAATTGATACATGTGCCTCAGCCACCCTCAGAGGAAGGTAAACACGCATATGCATTCAGGTCCCCCTAGAAAAACCAGTTGCAACCTCAGTCACAATTGAAGATCATAAACAACTGGTACTCTACGAAGGGGAAAACATCTTCTGCACTGGATGTGGAAGGATAGGCCATGTCTTGAGAGGATGTACACATAGACAAATCCATTACCAATCCCAAAATCAGGATAGCCCGGAATGTTCAAAAAATAACCAAATGGATACTAAAAATCAAACAACAAACACAGAAGACGAAGAAGAATGGCAAGTAGTTTCCTTCCTAAGAAGGCGGAAAAACGAATCCACTACAAAGCAAAAAGAAGAGCAGGACATCTCCACAAAAGAAAATTCACCAGCAAAGCAGGACAAAATCAAAGTAAAAATGTTTGATGCATCCTCCGGTAAGTTCCTGGAAACACAAACTTTCCGGTAAACAAATAAATCTAACTTGTTGCAGGAAACGGACCGGCCCAAACCAAACTCCACGAAGGGGCCACAGCCCAGACAACAAAGTAGAATAGGGCAGCTCACAAGAGAACGGGCAAAAACCAGTGTCAAAAGGAAGGCGGACCCAGGGTACATCCAAAGGCACACAAGCCGGGAAACTGGGCCCAGGTCCCAAATAGTAACACCAAACAGTGACACCATACCAATTACCTAAAATCAGTTGGACGCTACCCCACAATCAAAGTCAATACAGCCCAATAACCAAGATAACACCCCAAAACATCAACCTGGGCCACCACAAGTTTCAGAGGAAATGGAACCCATGACTGACCCCAATGATACCCCTACCATACTACCCTTCCCCTTCCATCTCCAACTGGTGAGAAACCCTTCATGAAAGACCAATCTATAACACAATATAATCAAGAAATCCCCATTGATTTGACAGAATCAATCACCTCCACCGGATTTCCTATTAAACCAACCCCCAGTGAATCAGACACAACCCCCAAAATAATTAAAATGATTACCACTCAAAAGGCTCAACCGTCAGAAACGTTTGAGTTGCCCAACACCCCCTACTTTATTATCAACCTAGAAAAGGATAGAAACAAGAAATCCAAAAATGGAACCAAGCAACAACCCCCCAATTTTCCTAATCTCAAACCCACCCCCACTGGATCACCTACCAGCATCTTGGCTGGAACTGGCCNTCCATGGGCAGGCGCTGAGCTACGATTTTCAACTGGGCGAACAACCAGTCTCCTTAATCATCCAGAACCCAGCCCACCTATTAATACCCAATTTTTCTCTATGTATTTTTATACTAAAAATACCTTCAAAATAGCATGTGTATGCATATATAAGCACGCCCTTGAGTTTTGGTATTTTTCACCTATTTTTTAAGACTTTTAAAATCAATTTATTGTCTATTTTAACAGTACAAAACCCAATAATTATTCCCAAAATTATTATTTTGGTGAATAATTTATTTACATCCGCATATTTATTTGTTTACATCCGCATATTTATACCAAAATATAATTAAGGTGATTTTTTTTCATATTTTTACAAATTTATTTGATATTTTTTAAGCTAAATTGCATAAAATTGCAATTATAGTTAATAGCGTTTTACAATTATAAAATTATTCCAATATTTTTAGATTAATGTTTATATATTATTAATTAGTTCAGTGCTTTTGATTTGTTTTTAAAATTATTTTAACTATTTTAATTAAATAAAAAAGGGGAAATGGCTATTTGACATTTAGCCTCATTTATTTCAATAACAGCCCCAATACATTTCAATTGTAGCCCTTAATTTGACTCAATTAAACTAGCCCAATTTCATTTGGACCCAACCCATGACCCAATTCCAAATGACCCGCCCGGCTCCTACTATTGATCCAGGTCGTTGATAATTTTGATCAACGGCCATAAATCACCCTTGCCTTTTTTTAACTCCAAATGACTACCTTAATCCCTCATTTCCCATCTCTCAACCGCCTTTGAAACCTCTCATCTCTGAAACTCTCTGAAACCCTAGCCTCCTTCTACCCTCTCCAACCACCACTCCACCGGAACCCATGGCTTCGCAGGCCATGGATGATTGGTACTCACTCCCCTCCACCAGTAAATTGTGGTTGTTCGATGATGTGAGGCCCAACTCCCATGGTCTCCTTTAGATCTGTCTCAGATCTGCAAGATCCATGGCCTCTCCGGCCATTTTTCGGCATGTTCAAAGCAGTATGAGTCTCTTCGACTCAGGATCCGTCTTTCCTCAAGACCTTCTCATCATAGGGTCTTCTTTGCCATTTTTTAATCCTTGCTAAGGTTCTCTACTCGTCTATTTCTTTCAGATTTGTGATGTGTTTGGTCTCTAATAGACGTTTTAGAACTTTTCCCCAAATTTTCTTTTCAAAAGTGTTCAAAATCCGATTTAGGGTTTCTGGAAAAACTTCTTTAAAGGTTTTCTGACTATTTTGCTTTCTCTTATGTGTATTTATGCCCGCTTGTTTATTTCTTATTATGATTAAGTTTGTTCTCTTATTTTTCTTTCTTGATTTGACGAGATCCTTTTTCTGTTCTTTGTTCACATGATCAACTAGGTTGTTTGTTCCTTATTCTTTGCTATATGTTCGTGCTCTTTAACTTCGTTTCATTTTACTGAGTTTGTTGGTATTCCTGCTGAGTTTTACTCTTACTTGCTTTGTTTAAACTTTTGAGATCTGTTTGGGTTCAGAGATTTTCTCAAGCATGCCTTTGAAACAATGTGTTTGTTATCACGTATGTTTGCCTCTCTCAACGATTTCTCATATCTAATTCTATTTGAAACCCTAAAATTTGGGGGTTTTCCTTTGGGTAGATGGCACTAGGGTTTTGCTTTGAAACCCTAGGTTTACAGACTCACGATGGGCCTGTAATTGAACTTAAAATCTTACTTGCCTATGATTCTGAAATTTTCATTGTTAGACTCTTCTTTGGTTTGAACTGTATGCTTTATATATGAGAAAAAAAACTTCCCTTTCAAAGATTGATTTTGAAATCCCTTTAATCATGCTAGTGATTCAGCACTGATTTCTTTCAATTGAATCTTTTTCACTCTACTGACTGTTTATTTTGATCCTTTTGTATAAAAATCCTAGGCTTATGATATTTTCCTTAAAATAATTGGTCTTGTGTACCCTCTGTGATTTTGTACCAACATTTGAATTATTTCTTTCATTAATTACTTTAGGTCCTTTGTGATTGCAATTGGATCCGAGATCCTTTGACTGATTTTCAAACTGATACCTTATTTTTCACACTACTATTCCATCTTTCCTTAATCACCAACTCTGTACTTGACCTTATTTGTGCACTATATGGTTTACTTACCTTAATCAAGCCTTAGAAAACTGATTTTCCCTCCTTGTTCCATCTTGATTAGCCGTTTGACCTAGACCCCTTAATTAAAGGAGTCTAGTTGTCTTAATTGATACTAATTGATTGGTTTCTATGTTTGTGCAATCTTTGCATGCCTTACTTATTTTCAAAAACTATATAAGGACTTAGTCCTCCCTCTTTCTATCATCAGTCAATAATAAGTCAATTCTCTCATAAGCAGAAACACACGAAAATACACCACTCACACACTGAACTCACTTTTCCGGCAATATTGTTTTCTAATCCTGCTTTGCTTGAGATATTTTGGGACTGCTGTTTGCAATTTGGCTCTTTCAAGACTATTTGTGCTTACTTATTTTCTCTGAAACTGGTATGTCTTTTGTTTAAATATTCTGCCTCATCCCTATATGTTTACTTTGCAACTTCAGGCTTCTTGTTTACTTTACTACTTATATGTTGTAGCATGTGCTTCATATCTCCTTTCTTTGCTTATGTTTCTGTTATGAATCCTCTACCCCCATTCCCTTCTATGTGCTGAGTTAAGCTCTTTGCCTGACAGTATCCTAATTACTGTCCAGGCCTTGGCTTGATCCACAATGGATCCTAACTCTCAATGCTTGACTAGCAGGTTGGTCAGGGGTGTGCCAGCATCCCAATTACTGGGCATGACCACTAGCTTGCCCTGTCTCTCCCTGATTCCCTCCCCCTTTGTGCACTTGCACCTATTCCTAGAATCTTAAGTTCTGCCCCTCTCTTTTGAGCCTTGCTTTGGGACCTTGAGATCCCTCTGAACTTGAACATCTGAGGGCTGGCATTTTCACACTGCATTATGCTCTTAATTCAGCAATATTTTGGGATGTAAGTACTGCCCGGAGTCCCTTTGAGACTCTTCGGAACTTTGACACACTCCAAATATGAGAAAGTATTTTGGAAATATGATCCTGGAAGTTGGTTTATCTCATATTGTTGGACTTTGAGTCTGAATTATGCTGTTTGGATGTAGCTGGAACTTCTGATGTAATTTTCTTTTCTGATTCATTCGGGTCTGTAATAATTTGTAATAACTATTGAGGAAGGATAGTGAAAAGGGATGGGAATGATTGCATGCAAAGGGTAGAAAACTTGCCTATAGGTCTTTACAATTTCTGCATTTAGAAAGTATGCCTATAGATCTTTACAATTTCTTCATTCAGCATCTAGAAAACATGCCTATAAGTCTTTATAATTTCTGCATTCTCAGCATCTAGAAAACATGCCTATAAGTCTTTATAATTTCTGCATTCTCAGCATCTAGAAAATATGCCTATAAGTCTTTATAATTTCTGCATATACACGCCATTAGGCAAACTATTTTAGGCTTAGTAATAATCAATTCATGCTAGATATCATATCTATAGGATTATTATAACTGTCAAAATCAATCACACTTAGAGATCATGTCTATAGGATTATCAGCCTCGCTCAGGACCTAAAATCAGTCTTATAAGTTTGCAGATCTTTGTGTATAAAACCAGCAACTTTTCCTAAAACTCAGTACAGCTCTGTTAGATGTCATGCTTATAGGACTTACTTAGGCAAACAGTTAAGTAATTAATTGACTGTCAGTCTTTGATAACTACATCCAGACAAGGCTAATTCGGACTCCTTATCTGAGAAATATGTGGTGAATTAG